CCATTTAAACGTGCAAATGGATGTACAAATGTTTGAAGGCTTTTGAACCAAACACATTAATTGCCAGTCTGTGTTTATGGAAACAGGCAGAACGGATGCTTGCCTCTCTCTGTAATAAATATAAAAATCCCCTGCGCTTCTGAGTCTGTGCGAAGCACCCAGGGAGGCCTTTTGTAAGAGAAGCTCTGCGAGAGATTGAACCCCTCAACCCGGCCATACAGGAGATGAGAAGACAGACGCCAAGTTATTTCATCCACCTTCCTAGCATCCTTCTTCCCCCGCAGGGCACTGGGTGCTTCCCCCTGAGCCCAGCCTTCTGTGGAGCAGGCAGTGAGAACCAAGGTGAAGTGCAAGGCTAGGCCGTGGGTACCTCGGTGCCCAGTTCCTTCCCATAGACACCCGGACAAGCGACCTTGTGCTTTTCCTTAGTAGCCTGCAGGCCCCTGGCCCTGACCTTGTGGTCGGAACCATGTGCTCAGAGAGGCTCTCCCTCCTTCCTCCCTACGGGGTTTGGGTATTTCAGAAAGACACATTCGTGCGGACTTGACAGAGGTCTGGTGTGCCCCATGGCCCAGTCTGTGACTCAGAGCTCCCTGCTGCGCACTGTGACACGCCCTGCTTTTCTGTGGCTCTGTTCCTGGTAGTGCAGACAAAGGGAACCCCGGCTTGACCCTGAGCCAGGGCTCGCTGACGGATGCAGCCACCTGGGAAATGGTCGGGGGGACATCTCGTGGGGGGGGGCACGTGTTCAGTGCTTCGTGCGAAGACAGGGGGAGGCAGTGGCTGAGCGAGGCAGGCGCTCGGGGGCCCTGGCTCCGACCGGGCTTGGGCCAGGGGTGCCCTACCAGCTCCTTCCAGCATTGGCCTTGGAGAGGCCGAGGGGCTGTTTGCCTTGCACCGGTCGGGGGGAAGCTGAAGCCCTGGTGTTGTGCACAGCTGGGAGAGGGGGAAAGAGGAAGGTTAACCTGCAGTTTGCAAGGCCCCCGCCCACCCTCTCAGTGCTTCCCCAGGACGTTTCTGTGTCATGACCAGAAGCAGAGCTGGGGCCATCGGAAATTCCCGTGTAGATGCCGCGTCAGGCATCTTCCCGGGGGCGGGGGGGTCATTTTGTTTCATTTTGTTTCATTTTGTTGGGGGAGGACAGTGTTGGAGCTGGTGGCTGGAAAGCGGCTTTGGGTGCAGCACCATCGATTTTGCTGTGGACGCCCCGTTTACTTGAGGAGACCCTGTCACTCTCTGGAGATAAGCTATCTTCTGACGTCTTCGCCTAGGTTTTTTGTTCCGCTGGGTGAGCTAAAACTAGGTGGTGGCTGCTACGTTTTCCTCTGGTGTCCGCTTTCTGCGTTTATCAAAAAGGCCCAGCTGTTGGATAGCTGAGGTTTGCTTTCAGGCCCCCCTCTGGTGAAGTGGGTTCTCTTCCGAGGTTCACCAGGAATCTCTGACTTCATCCTTCCTTAAAGGAAGACAGAGGCGGCTGGGACTTTTCGCAATGCCACTGTCCTCCTGCTCGTAGGCACGCACATGCTTCCTCAGCTTGCTTTGGGTGAGCCAGGGGAAGAGCAGGATAAAAGTGCTGGGCCCCTGAACTGTTACCGCGTAATTTCAGCTCCCTGGGAACTGCTGATGCCCCCGAAGCAAAGCTCTCACGGAGCAATCACGCAGTAAGGCTCCTCCCACTGACCCCTGCGGGCTCCCGCCCCTCCGGGGTTACACCACAGACCACCGCCTTTCAACTCCACGGTTTTGCTTTTGAATCCCGTCCTGCAGTGACCTGGGGATGTGTGAAATACAGGAAGGCCTTCGTGCCCTTTGTCTGTTCGCTGCCCACCAAGTACCCCACCCATTAGCCCAAATGTCAGGCACATGCTTTGGGGGGTTTCCCCCCTAGTAGTGGGGCGAATCCGTGATGAACCTGCGCCCCCTCTGGAGTCCCCTGCTGTGTGAACAAAGCGGTGTTTGGGGAGCCGTCTTGCCTGTGGGGTGAAGCCTCCACGAGACAGGCGCAGCGTCTGTGGCTTCGTGCCGGGTTCGAAGGAAGCTAACTGACTATGGGCCCTAAACCTCTGTCCTGTCCTTGAGTCCACTGGGCACACTGGTGTGGCAGGTGTGGGCAGGTGTGAGTGTCTGCAGTGACATGAATACCTGTGAGTGATCAGACCTCGAAGATTTCTCCCGTGGACCCTGGGATGCCGCCTACGGTCTGGCGAAGTGAGTGTGTGTGTGCATTGCACGGTGAACGCAGGGTGGGTCAGTGACCGTGGTGTCACGCCGTCACATTCTCTTTAAAGATCAACTCCTGGCATTCACTACCCCCCGGTTCGCTCATTTGGCACAATCTCCCTGACTCCTCTACTCGGCTTGTATGTCGGGGGGAGACAGGCACGGGGTGCTGGCCACCAGTCCCTGCGGAAGCAGGGAGCTGCCACTTGTTTCTGCCTCGTGTGACAGGAGTCACATTCCTCTGTGAGCCAGTAGACCCAGGTGTGAAGGTCAAGGTGAGACGAGAGGGTGCAGATTGGGGCGCCTGAGCGTGTGTGTGTGTGCGTGCGTGCGTGTGTGTGCGCGTGCAGGGCGGGAGGGGCGTTTGCCAGTGTAAGAGGTCCCGCTCCATTTTTACTGGTTCTCACCCAGAGGTGCCTCTCCAGGCGTCACCCCTGCCCGTGGTGCAGGGCCTCTTGCTTCCTTGAAACTGTGAGTCGGGGAGAGCCTCCCAGCGGGACACGCAGAGGCCGCCGTACCCAGGAAGCATTTCTCTGGGATTCGGTGACAGTGACATTCTGGGCACCGGCTCTCGGTGACCCTTTGTCTGCCCTCCCCCCCTCACTAAGCGCTTGTTGGGGCCTCATTCCGTTGCTGAGATTCACGGCGTGTGGGAGAGCAGCACCCCTTGCGTTGGTATGTTAACGGCCTCTGTAAAGTGAGTTCTGCTGCCTGGAAAGGCTTAATGCTGTTAATGAGTAGGTCTGTGTTTCACAGCAGTGTTTCATTAAGAATCAGGGTGTACTCGAGAGTTCATTTTTCTCAGCTCTCAAGGGGGCTTTTCATCGCAGGTATTAGGAAGTGGTGCCGGGAAGAAGAGGCTCAAAGAACAGACAACAAAGAAAAGAACAAAATTTAGTGCAAAAGACACAGAGGTAAATGTAATTTCTCTCCTGTGAAATCTGCATTAAACTCACCCTCTTCAGGAGCTTGATAGGAATAGGCCAAGGCAGTTTCTCCTTGGTCTATACTTGCATAAAAATACGAGTGTATTTTGCTCCTTATCATACAGCAGCTTGCTATTTAAGGAAGAATCAATCCTTGGAGAGCTTACGAAAGCTCCAAGTGAGCCCCTAAGTTTGTGGAGATCTTCCTTTCTACATAGTCAACATGAAAAGTGGTTCCCGGATTCAAAACTGAACTATTTACCAAGGTATCGTGTGCATATAACTGTGAACACATTTCCTTTGCAAGTGCAAGTTGCACAATGGAATTTTCAACGTCAATTTGTTTCTTTTAAAATGTCTCAGCTGAAACACAAAAGCACAAACTCTTGAAACTCGGCTGGATCTGAAGGGTGTTATGCTGAGTGGAAAAGTCCACTGAAGAGGCCCTCACGGAGCGACCCCTATCACCTAGCGTCCTCCAGGTGACAGCATTGCAGGGGGGAGGACAGGTAGGCGGGGGGGGGGGGCAGGGGCAGGGGAGGGCGTAACCGCACAGGACCACCGGCGTTTCTTGGTGGGGATGGAATCCTGTATCTTGATTGTGGGGATGATACGAACCGAGACATGTGATAAAATGTCACAGAACTAGACACGCAGGCACGCCCCAGAACAATGAGCGCATTCAAAACCGAGGGACACCCAGGCAAGCCCCGAGCACTGTGTCCACGCTGATTTCCTGACGTTGAGAATGTGTTAGTGGGGTGAGGCATTACCTGCGGAGGCTGGGTCCACAGGCTCGCTCTACTAAAAAGGTAACTTCTTGAGAGTCTGTAATTATTTCAAAATCTGCTGAAGAAAGGGTTCCAGCTACTAATTAGACACACTTAGGAAGCAATTTGGTCAGAGTCGGGCATCCTTGCAGGAGTCGGGGCTTTTAGATGTAAACGGCAAAGACGTCACTGAGCGTCCCTGCTTTGTGTCCAGTCTGCGAGGCTCCCACTGTGTAAAGCTATCGCTGTCCTGCAGCTTCTGTGAAAGCCGTGAAACCGGGAAGTGTGGGCGTGAGCCAGGCCCTCACGGGGCAGGTGGGCCAGACTTCCAGGGTGCATGCACCTCTGGGCTCAGGGGTCCTCCTGGGCCAGGCGAGGGCTTTGGCCTCGATTTTCCATAACGGCCTGCCTAGTCCTAAAATTTTATAACCCACACGACTTCACAGGATGAACTACAGAGGCTTGAATTTCACCTCAATACCCACTGCATGAGACACCTCAATTCATGTTCATTCCAAGTGTGGATGCGGACACCACTTATTACTTAGCACGATCTTATATTATGAACACTTGAAGGGTAAATTACTGGGCTTTTTTTTTTTTAACAGTTAGCTAAGGTTAATTTTCCAGGACAGAGGACCTGGGCGGTCTTCAAATTCCTTGTATAAAACACGCATGCCGTGCCTGCACTCAGGGCGAGAAGAGAGGTTTATTCGGGCCAGTGAGGTCCCACCAACCCCACTGAATCAGTCCTGGGGAGGTTCTGGTCCAACATCACGGAAACTCCAGAAACTAAAAGTGGCCACGATCCTTTGGGAATAAAGGCAGATGACACTCTCCCAACCACCAGTAGAGCTTAACTGTATTCACACATCCGAACCTTTTTCTTCATGGGGTGCCAAAAGCTGATGACGTTGGGGGGACTGAGCCCCCTAGCAAACTGGCCCGGACCCCCCAGGTCTGGTCTCGGGACAGCACCAGACACGGAAGCGTCTGTCCAGCCGTATAGTATCGATTTCCCTTCCGTCCATAACAATTTAAGCCGCGGTTCTAACAACAGGAAACAAAATGAGCAACTCCCAGCCTCAGTGTGATCGGTTTATTGATAAAAGGAACCCATAGGGTTCAAACATGAGTACAAAATACAATCTTTTTTTCCCCCTGTGGGTCGTTACATTTTCAGTAAAAAAAAAAATGAAATAAAATAAAAGCGTTCATGGTCAACTTACAGAAAACAAAACCCCTGCCTACTGAGTTTCTTACTGTGCAAAACGAAAGGAAAACCAGCTCTGCCCACAGAAGGGTTTTGTGCGCCAAAAGCTGCAGTTGGAATCGCGGCATTTTTGCATCGAAAAGGAAGTTGTAAGGCCACGGTTTCTTTGCAAACCACCCAACGGACTATACACGCAGACACAGCAGCTATATTTTTGCCTTCATTTCCAAGTACTCTGTTCCAGTGCAGAGTTGGCTGCATTCATGCAACAATTTCTTGACTGAGAGAAGGGGTGGGGTTCCAGCCCACGGCCGGAGGTCAGATACACTGATGAGAATTCAGGAAGGCAACCTGCGCGTGGCCGTTCTCTTGGGAGCTACCCCGCCCATCAGCTTTGCTTCCATGGTCTGTTCACTTCATGACCTCACTGAGAGAGGGGAGGAAGCCAGCCCAGTGAAGGGCTGTAGGAAGCAGTGGCTTCCCTACCGGGAGCTAAATAGACTTTCTCCCCCTGCCCCCAAACTGTTCCGCCGCAGCCCCTCCCTCTGTCTTCCCGTCCATCCTCAGGACGGTGTCTCGTGAGTCACGCAAACTAATCAGAAGTCAGCCAATAGCGGAAGATGGTCTTTTTAAAAGTAAAAACGGTTTGGATGGAACTTCAGCACCCACACCTGTTTTAAAACAGACACCAGAACAAGCAAAATCAAAAACCAAGGCAGGGAACAGTTTGGTGGCACTTTCAGTACCGACTCTAAATGGTGGCTTATGCCGATAAACAGCGGGGACGCTGACACACTGCAGAGGGGACGGGCGTGTCCAGAGGGCGGAGGCACACCCCCGTCATTGGATCACCTAACGGCCAACTAATTTTTAACTACAACATTTAACCTTGGCAGAATTTTTCTCTTTCTCGCTGAATGTACCGTTCTGTTCAGCAAAGCACAGTGTTTCGCATGGGAAGTGCCAGGATTTCTCCGTCAAAGGAAACCCTCGGTGGGTCCCCAATCCCGGCCACAGGCACCCCAGCCTCGCCTGCCCCCCGGTGCAGAAGCGCTCTCAGCTCTCACACCAGCAGGGCGGCAGCCACAGCCACTCTGCGTGGGAGGGCGGAGGGGACGGGAGAAGGGAATAGGAGACAACGTTCCTTAGACTTTCGGCAGCAACGTAATCCTGTTGGTCTCCACAGCCTGAGGTTAAATGCTAATAAAATATTGCACCAGAACAAATAAAATCACAGTTTCCAGAGAATCACTAAGGAATTGGACGGATAAGGTACCAGGCAGTGCTTGCCCTCAGGGGGACACGCGTCTCCTGGCAGGAACCCAGTCCGCGCGGTTTCAAAAAAATGGCATTTCTACCCTCTTTTGGTCTTGCATTTCTTTTGAAGTCCCCTTTGGTTTACCTGCGTTAACTCCCACCTGATGCTAACCACGTAGGGGCTTCCGGGGTTTGGTTCCAGATGCAGTGACACCCGAGCTGAGGCGCCCCTGCCGGGGGGCCGGGCCCTCCCGAGACCCGTGGGGCCGAGTTCGAAAACAACTGATCGTCCACTGGAGGTAGGTTAGAAGGAGCCCTTGTTTCGCCTTCTTGTGTTGGTACCACGGCATCCCAAACGTGCATCTTTACCCTTCTTTCGGTCTGGCACGCTCTCAGGTAAATAGGACGTGAGGAAAACCACACACGAATCCTGTTCAAGTACTAAAGAGGGTAGAAACCACAGCCTCCGACAAAAGGGGTCCCCGCGGGGAAATTCGCCTTTCCCCGTTGCACTCACATGCCTTTCAAGGGACCCTTGCTTGGGTTCCTAATACTCGACCGCCAAGGTATCAACTATGTCTCAAATGGGCCCAGAAAAGAGTGGAAGCCGAATCCCTTCCTGAGGGCCTCCGACAGCCACGGTCTCAGGAACCGGTCTTCCACGACCGCAGGCCTCTGGGACGTGCGAGGGAGGGGATTAGAGGGCCCCCGAGGGGGAGGTCTCAGTTGGCGTTTGGACTCAGTTTCCTCGTGCCCCTGCCCATCCCAACTTCCCCATAGTCAGGTCCCCCCACCGCAGGGCGCCCGGGTGGCCTTCGCTCCGCTCTGAGAACCCTTGCATAGTGCTTCTCCTGGTCACACAGAGCGCGATCAGCCCTCCTCTTATTCTGTCACCATCGGGGCTCCCATTACACTCTGGGACTTCCATTCTTCAAAGGGGACACACGGCCCCACCACAAACTTGGGCAACAAGCCCGCCAGCCTGCTGGTCAGCCCACGTACTGTTTTAATTTCTTGGTGATGTCCATTTGGGTTCCTAAGCGAATCTTCCCTCCCGTGTGCCCCGAGGGCAGGGGAAAAGAGCTGCCGTTCCCCCTGGGGGACGGACGATCCCGGTGGCTCCCAAGATGCATTCACAGAATGAAGGAGACGGGCCGGGCCTCTTCTGTGTTGGTAGGATGCGGATCGACCTGGAAGAGAGAGCAGGCCGGTGACTAGTGCAGCATTATCTTGGATTCCAGGCTGGGCGTGCGCTGAGCTGCTCAGAGCCTGGGGTCACTGCTAAGGCCCAGGGGTCCGCTCCCAGTCTCCAGGTGCCACATGGCCCTGTCAGACACCCAGGCGGCAATCCGTGCTACAGCAGGGGACAAGGAAGGTGCCAATGACACAGTGATAATCTGCCATCGCCGTGAGAGGTTGTTTTAAAGCAGGCATCCCCTACTAATTAGGAATTAGCCACAGCCACTTACAAAGGATTATTCACGAACAGCACGATGCAAGTGGGATTGATGTCCCCTCGCCTTGCTTACCTCTGAGTAAAGCGGGGGAGGCTGGAAGCGGAAGTTTGGAATGCAGGCGAAGGGGGGGCAGTGTGCCTCCGCCCCCCAGCTGGGCAGCGCGGGGTGGGGCGGGCCGTGCCGGGACAGCGCCTCCTCGGACACCACGTCTGTGTATTCCGGGGGGGCTGCAACAGGGAGGGGGCTCGGGCTGAGAAATCCACGCCACACCCAACTGCACTGACTCCCCTGAACACTACGGAACTAAGGCAGCTCTCTGAAGTTCATGGTGAAATGACAGCAGTCTTCCCTCTGATCACTGAGTGTCCCCACCCATTTAGTAGAGTTTGCTTTGACGAAACTACCATCACTGACTATATTCTGCTGAGACATACATCTTATAGTCCAGGTTGAAAAAATCATTGAGCTGTGGCTACAGAACATGCGGGACACTGTACTTGTATTCCGACTGCTGTCTCACTAGCATAAATCACAGTTGGGAAGGGTGGTTTTTCCTCCTGGGTCTGGTATCCGAAGCTTTGTGGTTGGAATGAGCTCAACCACCAGAGGCCCGTCTAAGGAGAGCGTTCAAGGGTGTTGGGTAGTGGGAGTGAGGACAGTTCCAGTAGCAGTGGGGTGACATCTAAACACTTAGTAGGTTCTTTGTGTGCACAGCCTGCCCTCAAAGAACCCCAGACCTCTACCTTCAGGCTGCTCGGGCAGCGCCAGGGCCCACCAGCTCATGTCCATGCTGAACTGGCTGGCCACGCTGCAGTTCCTGCTGGCAAAGCCGTGGTACGGGACCGTGCCGATCACCAGGGGCAGCTCCAGCATCAGCTTTTTAGCACCGGGAATGTGAATATACACCTGACAGGCCAAGGAGGGAGAGACAGACAGGCACAAAAAAAGTTAAGCCTCGTAGTAAGAAGAGCTGATTGATGATTTTTCATAGAAAGAAGTGCCTGTCACTGGCCAACCCCACCCACCCCACGACCGCTGTGCACTGTCCAGACCTGATGAAATGAGGGCCGACCCCAGGGAGAGCCCACAAAGGACGGGGCACACTGAGTGATGGGAGCGCGGCCTGCGTGCGCCTCGCTGTGAGCAAGTGTGGCCCACCCAGTAACTAGAGCACATGAAGTGCATCTTCCATACAATCAGCACCTGATTCTCTGACGCCATGTAATGAAATCCCACAGGGGGCCAATTTTTGCTTAAAAAACAAAGGCCAACTCGTTTCCCCAGGTACCCGACGCCCCCACCCTCCGGGCCTGTGCCACTGGTGCCGCCGCATCCCGCACACTTTTCACTGCACGGAGGGCTGTGCTCACCGCTAAGGAGTAGTCCACTCTGATGATGCAGCAGTCCAGGATGGACGGCGCGACAGGCGGGATCTTCAGCATCTTCCCGTTCCAGGTGTCGGTGCTGCCGGAGGCGATGTGGTTCCCACGCACGTGGGCCACCACGTGCCGGACGGTCTTGGTCTTCCCGCTGGCCAGGTACGTCTGGGTCTGGAAGATGGCGGCTTTGGGAACCACCAGTCGGGAGGAACAGTTCTCTATTTCTGCGTAGATCGGAATAGCTTCTCCTAGAAAGAAAACAAAAAGCCTTTGGAGATGTTCCAGAACGTTCTCCCCACAGTGCCACAGAGCAGTCACGAGGTACAGCTGGAAGGCGGGCAACAACGCAGTAACAGACTGGGGAGCCCTGAGGGAGAACCTGTAAATCCGAGTCGGAGAGGCGAGGACTGTGGGTTGGGGCAGATGCTGGTTCCTTACTGTTGTGTTACCCGCTTTCCAGATGCAGCAACATCAGACCCCCAATTCTAAAGTAATGCAAGTTACCAGCACCTTTAAAAATTAAGGTAGGGCACACGAGAAAAGAGTAGAGTAACCTGAGTACAAAAGATCACTAACAAACACGTCAGTGCCCACTCTATTAACACCTGGCCAACAGCAGAATGAGCCTTTGCTCTTACAGGCTGGGTGGTAAGGACAAAGGAAGCTGTGGATGGAGTGGGCGAAGTTCACATCCACCGTCCCACCGGTCCCGGTCACTTCCAGGGAGCCAGGACCCAGGTCCACCGAATAGCATGGGGCTTCCCCCGATGGTAGTTCTAACATCGGTCTAACTGTGGGCCCAGCCGGGTTTTCGTGCAGCCAGTGCGTCCCTCCGAGCGGCACTGGCGTGGACATTCTTTCACAGCATGACCCGAGGCTCTGGCGTCTCCCACTCAGCCAGTTTCCCCCTTCGTCACTCAGGGAACAAATGGGATGGAAGTCGCAACGCCGGGGGTTTCACCGGAATGGACTGATCCACTCAGAGCTACCCAAACGTCAGGGAATTATACTGGGAACACAAGTATTTGTTTGCACTGAACATACTATATACTGCATCGCTGATGAAACACACCATTGAAAGTCACTCGCAGTTAACTAGCGATATTCATTAACACTGCATCTGAACTCTGAGGACACTGTGTTTGCTTACCATTACAGTAGCCCTTTCTCTCGATTTTTGCACTCAGAGAGACCGGACCGGAGGTGAAAAACCAGCAGCCGACCATCTTCTCTTGGGTTTTCAATACAGGGGTCTTGAAAAGTTCAAAGAAGAAGACAATGCTAATGAAACCAGTCTAGAAGAATCCATAAAACTTGAAATGATGTTATTCTTCATTAAGAAATGTTTTTCCAAAAAAACAAGTTAAGACGTTTCTTTTCTCACGTGACACACTGGGTGAAATATTTACTGAAACACAGTGCACTCTAAGTCACTCCCTTATTAGGACGACTGAGGTGAATTGTCAGATTCCAATCAGGGTGACACCATGCTGTTTTACCCTGCGGTCATTGTGTTTCTGGGAAACGACAGACCGTTTTTTACGAAAACAATCAAAAACTGTCGTAGTGCCAATTACCGGGTCAGGCACTATTTTAAAACTCTATTTAGATCAGGTCAAAGGAGAACTGGCATAAAAGTCAATAATCAGAACATGCTATTTGTTTTGGCATTTTTTAAATGTGGAGTAAACACCCCCCCCTTTTTTTTTTGCTTACCTCAAAACACATTTTTTTTTTTTACTTACTTCGAAATGCATTCTTAGGGATATAGTTCAAGTGTCTTTAATTTAGAGTGGATTTCGGGTCTTGTGAAAGGGTGGGCGCACCATACACAAGTGTCACAGACACAAAAAAGGACTGTAAGTACCGGCCCTCCCTCCGTTCCATAGTCTCAAACCAGACGACATCAGGCTTTACATTCCCAGGTTACAAACCACAGTTCATCGTCAAACCCAAAGGCACACTTTTTCTCTTTTATTTAAAGAAAGGCTCGTAAAGGATAAATCGTAGCTCTTTTTTGGCGAAAAAGAAATTTCTTTAAATCACTTGTCACAATGGCCTCCTAAAGAGTTTAGTCATAGTTAACCTCCCAATTCTAAGAAGCGTTTAAAAATGCAAGACACTTGGCCTCGTCAGACGTCAAAGCCAGTGTTAAGCAGGTCACGGCTAGAAACCAGGTCAGTTGGGTGCCGGTTGTTTTGTGGTTTGGGCCACAGATGCGCCAACAGGGCCTATTTGATATATTTATAATCTAAAGGTAAACATCATGGTCAATTCTCTTCCATTTTCACGTGAAAATAGAGTACAGCAACTTTTAACTCCAGGCTTTTTTTCCTTACTTATCTTTAAAATCCTTGGCTAGAAAAAGAAACCTCCAACACGAAATATCCGCCTTTGTAAACACCAGTGTCCTCATGGAAAGTTCAAATTACCTCAGCATTTTCTAGGAAGTTTAAAAAAAATCACCCCACATTCATTCATATTTAAATGAAGACCCATTAGGTCCCAGTAGCTATCATGAGCGTATAAGGTATAATTTTATATGATTTTGGTAATATGGGTTGAGATAAAAGACTCTCGCTCATTAGCTCCCATCTTGCCTATTCTGTTGTTACTTAAAGCCTCATCTTTCTGCTCTGTCTACAGTATTTCTGGGGATTATTAGAAGTTCAATGCTTTCATGTGGCCAAATCTGTCACAAGGAAATGATCAGTGACAGGGGCCCCGAGACAGCTGCGTGCACTTACTTAATGTCCTAAAATGACAGGCGGAATGGAAGGACACACGACATAATGGCCCAGGCCTCAATGGCAGGCTGGGCGTGATTAACACCCTCCCGTAATTACTGCTCCTCAACCTGCTATTATTGAAGACTTTAGAATACCCACGGCCCTGGGAGTGTGGTCGCTCTGGGAAAAGTAACCACTCTCTGCGTGAGCGTCATTATTAAGCCTGATGAATGCGTTTCCAGCCTGTGTAACTTTTTGGCAGAAGCAGCCCAGAACAGCCGGGACGCCATCAACAGTATGAACACACGTGATCTGTAATTTGCTCAACCCAGAACCGCATGTTGAGAGGGAATGGCTATGGGTTACAAGATCGTATCGGAAAGGGCGGGACAGAGTGGCTCTCAACTGGCCGAATGTGGTGCATGCACCACCGCTGAAAGGGAGGAGGAGGAGAGGGCAGGAGGAAGGGCAGGAAGGAGGGAAACTTACTAACAGTGCTGGCATGTTGACATCGACCTGACTGACCACCTGGAGTTCCCGTTGCACGCTCTGGGCAGGGAGCCTGGGCCGCTCCAAAACCGCTCTCACGCAGTACTGGATCCTTCCGTATTTCCCGGTGAACGAGGTGACTAACAGGCTGAACGGAGCCAAAGAAATGAATTTCTAAGTTTACTTGTCAGCTCATCAAAACCAGGGAAGGCTCTTAATACGTTGGTTTGGTGAAAAGGAAAATGCGTGTGAGTGGCGTGGGTACCCTGCAGGGTGAACACGTGTGCCCAGTCAGAAGAGACTGGCACCCATATGTGCGGGGAGGGGGGTGTGGGGCAATCGCAGCGGTTACAGGGGTCTCACTTACTCAGACGGAAGTTGAAAGCTAAAGGGGAATTCGTGTTTTCCAGGCGGTAATGACAGGGTGCCCTCACCTAAAAAAGAGAATACGTGTTATTTAACTAAGGTTAGCACCAGGTCGAGACGTTCGCCACTTGAACCAGGTGTTTTTCAAGGAGGTTTTCCTGGCTATAACATCTAGTCTGCTCCAAAAAGCTTAGTAAACTGAGACAGAGGGAATGAAAATTTGAATTTGATTGTACCGTTTCACTATACACACACACACACACACACACACATACACTTCTATAGGCTTCTATCTTCAAACAGAAAATGACACACGTAACTACCATGAAGTGTCAGAGTGCAGAGCTCCCATATACATAAACACATGCACACACATGTACGTGTATATACACGTTTATTCCACTCTTACACTAGCATGAGTACACTATTACACTGACATCAGACACCAGTATTGAATTGGACTGAAAGCTAAGTAAAAAACAATCGTTCTATTTCTTTCGAATATACCCTAAAAATCAGACTACGTGCACCTTGGGCAGAGGGGGACGAGGAGGTGAAACTTTATGTCGAATATCATGTGTACTGTGCACAATACTGAACAGCCAACCAACAGGGCAAGTTATGAGCAAGAGTCGCTCTACTCAAGGTCTTCGGATGTGCAGGGTCTCTTCGAGGTTACGTTGGGATGCAGAGGGCTTGGCCGAGCGTGGCCATGACCCCTTCCTCCCGCCCTGGGTCTGCCAGCTCCGCTTGCTTTCCCACAGTGGCTCATCCCCATAACGGTAAGGAGGCCGAGTGGCCAGGTGTGGTGAACCCGGCAAGGCCAGAGGCCCTGCGTGCTGCTCGGACCCAGGGCCAGCTCCCCGCTGCAGAGCTGCCCGGGGGAGCTGTACAGACACCTGTAAACCTCCCCTTCGTCTGGTGCCCACAGACTCAGGTGGACAGTGAAAGTCCCTCGTGGCGGGTGGTTAAGGTGGAGAAAGGGGGTGTGGACTGCGCACTCCCTCTGAGGTTTGCCTGGTCACTTCGCACCAAATGAAGATGTCCACCACATACATTCATTTACAGAACTAACAGGCGGCAATCCCCAGTGAAACGGGGTTATTTCTTTCACCTAAATCCTGGAGCGCTAAGACCTTTACCACCTTGGTGAGCATTTGAACCTCGTACTTTCGGGAAAGCTGGCACACCTGACGGTGGGGCTCACTGTCTTCCCACCGGTCCCCAGTTTTCCGTGTGTGACACACTGGGGGAAACGAAGTATTTGCCACTCAAGGTCATTCAAATAGGACCAGTCTACGGGTGGGGGACTGGGAGGCAGAGGGAACAGGCCACCGAGGTGTGAGCCCACGGGGAACGGCGGCGGGAGGGCCAGACCCTGGGCGCAGGCTGACGGAAACTGCGGCACTCAGGGTACGTGGGTGCCAGGCACGCTGGGTGGGAGGATCGGTAACTCCAGGCCTCAAACAGAGCCGTGGGGGGCGGTGAGGCTGGACCCTTGTGCACAAGCAGGGGTCACAGAGTCCTGGAGCCCGTGGGGGTGGGGACGGGCGCCCTGAGGACAGGGGTGGGTGTGAGGGCTGGCATGGCCACGGCAGAATGGCACGAGGCAGGGCATGACAGCCCGATGCAGGGGACAGAGTGACTCAGGAGACTGAGAGAGGGTCAGGGAGCGAGGCAGTTGCAGCCTTACAGACGAGACAAATCAACATGGGGACTGTGACATTTAAAATGAGCCTTTCAATCACCACAAAACACACACAGGAACAACAGTGAGGAGGGCTGATACATCTGGGGCCCAGCATTTGGAATCAAGGCTGTTTTCTTCTTTCCCTTTCTCGTCTATTTACTTAGAAGGGTTCCCCAGGCGGACCGAAGTGTCCTTTCCTTCTGTGCTGAGGACCACCTGCCACAGGGAGATGGTTCATCAGCTCAGGGTCCTGAACTGCGGGGAGACCACCACACAGTTGGGGCGGGCTCAGGAGGGAAGAGGGGGTCCCAGGCACTGTCACACTGCTGGTGGCCGCCCGAGGGCCGAAGCCAACTCTCTGGTCTGTCTCATCTCTCTATCCCAGTTTTTCAACATAAATATGAAGAAACTCAATTCCGATGATAGCAAACAGGGGGATTAGATTAGCAATGCCAAAGCGTGATCCACAGAGGTACCTGAGAACAGATCCCCAAACTGCCCTTCCCCTGAGCTCTCAGCATCCTGAACATTTTCCAGGTGATTAAAACTCAGGTTTGGGAATTAAATGGTCCCGAGAACCTACAACTGTGTAAATTTGCGGCTTCTTCCAAGCTACAGATAACAGGAGAGATCTTTTTTTCCGTCCTCTGTGTCAAATCAGCTAAAACCATGACTTTTAAGTGAAACATTAGTTTTGACAAATATCGTCAAACAGTATTTGTCAGGATCCATTCTGAAAAAGCAAGCCATTCATTCAAGTGGTCTAGGTTCGGACATTCTATTCCATCAGAGTGAAAACACAGGATCCGACTTCCCAAAAGTTGTTTTTTTTTTTGGGGGCTACTTTTTTGCTAAGCAGGTCTAACTGCTATTAATCTTACATTTATTTACTCAGTAGTCGTGGGCCCCGAGACAGAGTCCAAAGTCCTGGACAAAAGCCAGTTTATTTCTGCCTCCCTGGCCCCTTCCTCCAGGCAGCCCTCCGAAAGTTGGTGTGGTCTGTTGCCTCTGGGGGCAGGTATGAGTTGACTGGGCCTGGGATCCGTACTGCTGATGAAGGCGCACACAGGCAGGTAACAACGGTCCCGGGCGCCCCACACTTGGTATTCCAGTGCTAGGCTTTGGTTCCAAGTGCATCTCTCTTCACTGCAATTGAGGGCATCACTCCATTCTCCCAATGCCTTGAGCCCTGAACTGTGGACAGCCTCCTTGTCCACAGTAGAACCAGGCAAAACTGCACATTCTATTAATTTTGTGTAAGGCACAGCAAGGGTTAAAGATACAGTGCATTTTACTCTTGGGCTGATGAGGCAGAAAGGCAGGATAGGGTCCACCCACTACAAGAAGACCAGGACTCAACGTTCCTAGTGATCTCATGATTAATGGCAATCAGTGTACACACTCAGTGGTACACCCACACCGTGGGTCCCCACATGGAGACTTCTGGAAGGGCCTACACCATTCACCGGTCCTAGCAAGAGTGGAAAGGAAGGGTGACCTTTCCCCCAGACACCATGTGTCTGGAAAGGCCTATTGGTGGAGGGGGGTTGGGTGAAAAGGAAACAGGAGCAGCAAAAATAATCCAGAAAAAGAATGTAAGGTAGAGGCAGAATCCTTCAGTTCCCTGTGCTCCCCAGAGAAAGGACACCAAGGGTGATGATGGTCAAGAAGCACTTCCTTTGAACTGCTATCCCTCCGGACCCACTACCCTCTTCCAGAGGTTTTGCTAATTCATCAGGAGCCGAGGAGGAGCCTCTAGATTCAGGGTGGGAAGAAGGGGAGGCCCATGATACACGGGGCGCCAGAGCAAGGAACCTCAGACTCCGGCTGCGCCCTCCGTCCCTCTGGCCAGAACGGACAAGACCGCGATTCCCAGGGGCTGGATTCCTGACTGTTCATCATAGGTTTCCATGACAATGGCTCCCTCCCAGAGCAGTCCTGGAAGGTCCCGGGAAAAGGCACGCACCCAACTTGCACGCTGTTCCCGTCCCCCACCCCGCGCTGTGAGGTGGGGACGCAGGCATTGTTACCCGTGGGTCACCAGCAACCAAACTGAGGCTCTGGCCACCCTGCGGGCGGACCCCATCCCTGGACACCCGCTGCGGCACACCTGGCATGTGGGCATCTCCCGGCCGCCCCCACCCCCAATCCCTCCTTGGAGGCGCCTGCGGCCGTGAGGGGACACCGGGGCTGTCGCCACGCTCACCGGGCGGGGCCTCGCGCAGGTTCAGGCGCACATTCAGGTACTCCACCTCCGAGACGGAGGCCGGGGCCGCGGAGCCGGCGCTGGCTCCCCAGGCGGCAGTGGCGCATCCGTGGGCCTCCAGGCGCAGCGCGCAGAGGGCCACCGGCTCGGCCGCCTCCAGCAACACATGCCCCGCCACTGTCTCGCCGCTCGAGTAGCTGCCCTTTCGCTCGTCCTCGAACACCAGACCCAGGCTCTTCACGCGACCCTCAGAGCCCATGGCCTCCGTGGACCTCGCCTCGCCACCCATCCCGCCGGGCGACGCTGCCGCACCCGCGCCAGATAGCTGGGCAGCGCCCGGATCGGGGGTCGGAAGCCAAGCGGCGCCGCTGTCAAAGGCGCCAGCCGCACATGGAGGGCCGCAGTGCCAGCTGTGCGGTGCCCAGAGGAACCCTAGCGCGCCGTGGCTCCTGTAGCTTTAACAAACCCCGCTGGGAGTGTAACCGGGCTGGGACAGCCCACCCCCGGCGCGCGCCCATAGGTTAGACGCGAGCCCTGGCTGGTGCCGATTGGTTGTAAGTCGCTACTGAGTCACATCATTGGAGACCCTTGCAACGGCTGTGGCAGGTAGGCAGTGCGTGATCAGGTAGTGGTGACCTATCGGTATACGCAGCTGTGCACGTGCACAGGCCGCTTATTGGCTGGAGCAAGGCACAGTGCTGGGGCACTGACCAATAGTGAGGCGGTGCGCCCATGTGGACAGACTGTGGGGAAACAATCTTCGGGAGGGAGGGGGAGGAACCGGGAATCCCCGGCTTGGCGCGTCACCGTTCCTATGGTTACAAGTGAGGGCGGGGTTTTTGGCAGCTTGGGGATCCTTCGCGGGAGTCACTGGGTTCGTCCAAGAACAAGAAGTTGTGGCCGAACCGGCAGTGTTTATGATTACATCTGCCGTGCTCCAGGGGAAATAGCTGTGCAGGGAAATGGAGCCTAGCCCCATTTCCTTGTGAGATTTGGGGGCCGAATACCTCGGAACCTGAACTAAATGGGCAAGGTGGACACCCGAACCTCCAGCTTCCAGAGACCCTCTCCTGCAGAGTTTCCGAGTTCCCACTCTTTCTCAAAGCGGGAATTGGGGCTGTGGTTCTCCCGCTGGGTGACAGCCTCTCTAAATTGGGGATGGCTGGACGGGCCAGTCTTCTTGCTGTAAATAAGGTCGTGTGATGAATCAGGTAGTTTCTAAACCGCACCTGCCATACAAGTTTCTGCCCCACCCGAAAGGATTTCCCGACTTCAGTATCATAGCCCGCGACGATTTCCAGTTGTTTTGACGACTTGCTCACACCCACACGTCTTTTCCCGTTCTCGGTCTCCTTTTCTTGTTTCATCTTCCTTCCCTTCTCCACCAACTGGTCCTCGGTTTCTAGCCACGTTCGGTCGTCCCTTATTAAAAGTCTGAGTTTGTGCGCTGTTACGGAGCCATTAATCTCACGAGACAAAGTCTGGCCTGCGGTCGCTATTTTTTTTTTCTCACTAAGGATCCCCAACCAAAGGTTGTTCTATTCTCTGCGTTTAGGCAATTAACAGGGAGCTGTCACAAGGCTTTACAAGTTCAAAGTTTTCTTATCTCCTCTCAAAGAAAGTAGAAAAGGCCGCAAACCGAGCCCTGGCTCAGGTTCAGAAATGGCTGTTCTCCGCTGATCATTTTATTTACCTGGAATAGCTTCCAGGGAGCGCTCACTTGGCCTTTTTTCTTTCTGCCACATCCGGGCCTTATATACTTATTTAAATATTGTCCGTCACCTGCACTTGGAACTCAGAACTTGTTCCCATCATTATTGTTCCCTCTGGTCCCTGTCACAGAGCTCAGCATACAGTACGTGCTTAGTAAATGTTTGTTGACTGACTCCCAACCTAGGGACATTCTCATGAGCCAAAAGTCTCTGCCAGACCACAAAGAGACTGTTACAGTTTCTGACATGAGGGATTCTTCAACCCTTCGGCACCCCTGAACTTGAAAGAGCAGATAGGTTTGAATGCACCAATGTGGGGTTGCACCAATTGTAGGTTCTGTCCCCCTCCCTGAAAACCACTGGGCGCAACATGGCCCTAGAAGGTTCTGCTGACGGTTCTGAACCTGGGATCCTTTGCCCGTGTGTCACCTGAGGACCGGAGCGTCCTCAACAGCAAGCTCCAGGTGTTAGCCGCTGTTTTAGGTTCTAGCTCTGCTCTACTTGGTGCTGGTGGGCACTGTGGGCTCCGGCTGTCCCTTTACCGATGTGTCATTCTCCCTTTAGCTCAGAGAGGGAGATGGTGGTGTCCCCACAGTCAAGGTACAGCTTCAGCCCAGTGTTGCCTTCAGTCGTGGAGGGCCAGACTTGGCCGCCTGGTGGGAGCTGGCTCCTTCTGGCTGGGAGTTCCCGGGCTCCCACCAGTGCAGTCTCCCCTGAGCATCAGGCTGTGGCCTCTCCAGCTCTTTTGTCTTTGGTCCCCCACTCCAGCATCTGCTGGGGCCTGGAGCCCAGTTCTTGCCTTCTTCCTTCTGAAGTCTGTCTTGGCTTCTGCTGTTGGATGTTCAACCCAGATGGAGCGAGAAGTTGAGACCTGACAGAGTCCAGTGATGGACTTTGGACTCTGAGCCACCTTCCCACAGGACTGTCCTTGGGGACTGACTAGTCCTAGTCCTGCCTGGACCAGCATTAGCTCTACTACTGGGACTCGGAGAGTCATGTACTGCTGGGCTTCGCTGTCCTGGCCCTGGAAGCCGCCTGCTTGTTAACTTGGTAGCAGTGACATTAAAAGCGGTAACACTGAGCATTTATCAAGTGCTTCCTATGTTGCAAGCTCTGGACTAAGTGTATTGCATATATCGTTACATTCTATTTTCCAAACCGAGTTTTCTCAATGGGGAAACTGAGGCCAAAAAAAGGATAAGTAACTTGTGCATCATCACTCAGACAGTAAGAGCCGGGGCTGAGATGGAAATTCAGACTTTTTTGATTGACAGACTGCGCTCTAACCACTGTCCACAGTCTCTCACCTATGAAGTGCTTAAGCTCCTCCCTGGCTGACTGCTGCTGGAACTTAATCTAAAAAGCCACTAATGAGCCCTGGCTGGGTGGCTTTGTTGATCGGAATGACGTCCCATATACCAAAAGTTTTCCGGTTCGATTCCCAGTCAGGGTACATACCTGGGTTGTGGGTTTCAGTCCTTGTTGGGTTGCTTATAGAAGGCATTTCTCTCTCTCATCGATGTTTTTTTCTCCCTCTCTCTCTCTAAAAGCAATAAATGCTTCATTGGGTGAGGATTAATTTAAAAATAAATAAAATTTTAAAAAACCACTAGTGAGTTTACTTTAGAAGCTGCCAAGTGGCCATCAGGTACATATTTTGGAGAAGGCATCTGCTTCCGCAGCGTTTGCGCTCTGGGCTCCGCAGAAGCCAAGTTCTCTGAAGTTCGCGGGCACACTCTGTGCATATAGATGACTGCTCACGGTTCAAATACCCGAGGAGGGAGTTGGTACCTTCTGTCATCCCCAATTGGTAGAGCGAATTAGGAAGAACGAGAGCGGCGGGCAGCGGGCCCTGCAGGCCCGGAGTGACTGAGAGACTGCGCTGCGGTGGACCAGCAACCCGCACTGGGCCGACGCCGCCATATGTCAGCAGAAAGCAACCGAGAGGCGGTTGCCTTCAAGCCCGGATGTGAATGTTTGGTCCGGGCGCCAAAAACTTTGGCCTCTCCTGGCACACGAGAGCCCTGGCACGCAGCGGACCTGCCACGCGGAGGTGCCGCTGGACAATTCAGCCTTTGCAGAAAATGACGGTTCAGCGTCGTTTCTGTGGCATTAACTGCTCTTTGTGTTTGTGTGGTGGCATTTGTCCTTAAGGACGTTTGGCCCATTTTTGCAAGGATTTTTTTTTAATGCCAGTAATCATCCGAGGGAGCTCTGGGTGCTTGGATGGTGGCGTCTCGGCTGGTTCCTACCCTGCGTGTGGGGGGCATCTCCTAAGGGGACAGTGTGGCCATGAACCCCGGGCTGTCGATGTCCGAGGTCACTTGGCGCTCTCTGACGCTAAGGGACAGGGAGTAGGAAAGCTCCCGAAACTGAAGCTCTGCCTTTTCAAACTGCTCATTGTCCGCATGACATCATTCATTTTCCCTTTTGAGTCATCTCCTCGGCTGTCCTGGAGCGTTTGACTGTCCTGGCTTTCGTCAAAGCCCACTTGGGTCTCAGGAGAGGGCTGTTTTAAGTGACAGTTCCATTATGACAGCTTGATTGCCAGCGTGGCCTGATCACCCCCTCCCCTTATCTGTGCCCCTTTAACGTGACTTGGCAGTTTCTCCCGTTTAGGGAGGTGTGTACTTCCCACCCTTGAACCTGGGCTGGTCCCGGACTTGCTATAGGAGGTGGCACGCCATGTCTGAGTTGAGGACTCCAGGGGGTCCCGTGACCCTCTGCTCCTTTTCTTGGAACTTGGTCAAGCCACGCGCACAAGTCAGGACCCGCACGGTGAAGCCAAGAATCTGTGTGGCCTGGAGACCACTGTCCCCACTGAGGTCGAACTCGGTGGCTTACAACAGCCGGCTGTATCTGGGTGATGATGAAGTGATGATGAGGATTTGCATGTGACTTTCCAGTTGTTCCAGCACCGTTGGTTGAAAAGACTGTCTTGTGTTTTTGTCGTACTGCCTGTGCTCCTCTGTCAAAGATGAGGTGCCTGTGTGTGCGTGGGTCCATCTCTCTGCTCCGTTGCTCGTCCTGGTGATCTCTCTGTCTCTTCTTCTGCCCATGCCACACTGTTTTGACCACTGTAGCTTTAATAGTAACTCTTGATGTCGGGTAATATCAGCTCCTCACCTTTGTTCTCCTTCAACAGTATCGTCTATTCTGTATATGAATCTTGGCATTAGTTTGCTGGCACAGAAACAATTTAAAATATAAACTTATTACCTAATTATGGTTATCCATAAGCTATCTATCCTACATGTAATTTCTGTAAGGATAACTTGTAACTCATCTGTAGTGATGTTTCTTTTCTGTTCCTTATTTTGGTAATTTGGGCTTCTCTGTTTTTTCTTGGTCAGCCTTGCTAGAGACTTATAAATAGTACTCATCTTTTTAAAGGATGAGGTTTCGGTTTTGTTGTTCATCTCTATCTGTTTCTTAAAGCATGAATTTTTACTCTCATACTTATACTCTCTGTCCACTACCTCATTTGGGTTTGTTCTTTTGCTTTTTTAAAGGTCATCTTTGGGTGAATGTACCATTAATTAATTTCCAGTCTTTCAACATGCTTATTAATGCTGCGGACTGTCCTCAAAGTGCTCATTTAGTTGTGACCCACAGGTTTGGTATTTGCTCCCACGTAGCTATAAATATTTCATCATGTCTTATAATTTAGGCACGTATTTTTTTAGTCCCCATTGTGCAATGGTATTTTAGACCTATTGCTGCAACTTTTTATTTTATTGCTTCATGATTAAATAATGCCTTTCTGAC